CACAGTGATCCAAATTAGTAACACTATGTTGTTTGTTGGTTCGCTAGTAGTATTTGGTTTTGCTTGTACAGGACTCCTATGACAATGTTTTATGTTTTGTTTCTCTTGAGATGGCTTTGATGTGGCCAAATCATGTTCAGAACAGGGCCAATCCATTTTTTGGGGCTGACCACGTTTACGTTTGGCCCTTTGAGTGCGAGAACAAAAATCCCTTCCTTGGACGCTTTGCAGGGCATGGTGAGGCAGGCAAAGAACCTGTTCCCAAACCTTGAAAGCGAAAGACCCCACAAGCGCGCTTGGCTGTGGCTGGACATCCATGCTGGATCAACCAGTTTTTGGTTTCAAAAGCCACCAAAGAAAGCTTTGTTTTGAAGAGCTAATGCTGAACAAGATTCAGGTGCAAAGTGGTTCTGAGTTACACTTTTTTACCGCAGGGTTTACGTGGAGGATTCCTGTATGGGCCAATCCATTTCTTTCAGTGTTACTTTGTTGGTGTACACCAAAGCCCAGGGGCCCCTGTACCCGAGGATGTATTTCTGGAAGGGTGGTGGTGGTTGGGCGGACAGACGGCCTGCAAGCTATTTTTGGTATTTCAAGTTGTTTTGCAGCTGCCAACTGCCAACTAAGGAGGGATAAGGCCGTTGATGGTGACAGCACTTTAAAGACCTGATCCTTGTCTTGTACGCCGCTGCCAAACGCCAAAGAGGGACTCTGGTCGACACCATGGCTATACCTTCATTTGGTGTACTTTTAGACCCCCAGCCCGTTTGGTTGATAAGGGGTGTGCTACTAAACCCCAAAAAGTAACCCTTAACAGAGGATCTAAGGACAGGCCAGACAGAATAGATCCCCACTCTGAAGAGCACCCTCGCGCAGAGACGGAAGACGGGGGTACGAGCAGATCTGACAGATCTGTCACATGTTTTGCGCCAACCTGGATGTGCCCTAAGGGATCCAGTCGTGCCTCCTGAAAAGGTACTTGAACCCTCCAAACCTACCCCAGTCCCACCAAACCTCAGAGGGTACGACTGGATCCGGGGTGGCTTAATCTGCGTGTGTACTTCTATAGGGGGACCTCTCAACCTGCTTGGGTAGAGTGGATGAAGACTCCCCGGTGTCGCAGGGGACCGACTCGTTGTAGCGTCTCCCTACACATCACGTCGGCCTCCCCAAAAGCCAGGCCAGTGGCCCCATGCCACACCCAGGGGTGATTCATCCGAACAAATCGATGAAGACCGGGCTTGGGAGACCTCCAACCCTTTGGTTTTCCACTTTGGCGCACGTGTTCTTGCTGGTGTGAGATGGTTTTCTTCCAAGCTCTTCGATGCTTCACTTCTCTGCCAAAAAGCTCATTTACTCAAGTCTTGTGTCACGGATGATGTCCTTGATCTACCAAAACCCTAGGATTCCTGGCCAACAACCATTGTTTTACTAAGGATTTTTACATTACACAACCAGGTCAACCATTTGTTTAATAGTCTTGGAAGTCTATAGGGAAAAGCCAAGAACACCCGCGTTTTGGCGCCAAATGTGTGGGGCCTAAGGTCACCTAGGAATGACTGAGAAGGCTCTTAATCGGCTCCTTGGAAAAGACAACATCAAACTCATCCAGTTTGATCCACTTGAACTTCCAAGTCGTTGGCTATCGCACCACTTGTTCCTTAGTCTTTGGGTGCCGAGAAGAACCAGGTTTGGTGGAAGTGAATGATGGCTACTCCTTGGGCGTCTACCCTGGCCTTTCTGGCAAAGACTACACCGACCTGCTGATTGCAAGGTGTGAATAGTCCGTTATTTGTCGAACAATGTATCCAACTGTGTTTCGCTTGATCTCTTTTTGGGGCTCAGCAAGTGAGATGTGGTTACGTCTTCCTTCTTTGCCAGCAGTGGAGCAAAACTTAGTTAGTACGATCTCGAGCCATGTACTGTACACAGATCCACTATGCTCCTCTTCAAACTTCCCAGAGAGGGGTAGTTGGGTCCTTCTTTTCCGTCTAACAGAAACCGGTCCGACAAGACGATTGAGGGGTCCGACCCTCGGATCGACGTCGCAACGACCGGCACAGGTGGCAACGACTGACGACCGGCGTTCCCTGAGCCCTCGGCGCATCTGCCGCAAGCGACACGCCACGAGCGCGACACGTGGAGGATGCTAGGGTTCGCGCCACGTGACGCAGAGAGGAGACGACGAGGTCGACCTGAGATCCGCAGATCCAACGTGACCTGAAGAAAGTTTGCGAAGAAGAACTCGTTCTGCGCAGAGAGGAGTCGATCTGCGTGCCTCAAAGAGCTAAAAAAGGAGGATTGATGCGCCTGAAGTAGGGTCAAAGGAGGGGAGATGGCAGATGCTCTCCATGCCCTCCCTGGCACTATCCCTCCATATCAACAGCCTTTTGCAGGTGACCTGGAAAGATGGGCGAAAGATGGATCGGTCGCAAGCCCCTAACAATTGAAGCAACATCTTGAGTGAACACCAACATTGATGTGCACGTGATTCGAAGTTAGGTTGCAGCATCCCAACATATCCCAACCACCCAATCATGAACAGTGGTGCCTTTTGTCCGGTTTGGAGTTGTATCTCATTGTTGTGAGGCCAACTTGTAGGGACCCGCATGCTGCTTTCGTGTGCACGGTGGTGGGGTAGAGCCAAGTCGAAGTATATTAGCGCTCATCAACAACAATAAGAGAATCTGGACATTAGGGTTGCTGATACTTGTTCGATCAAATATCTCATTGTCTAATCATGTACAGACTCCTTTAGAAGTCGCAATTCATGAGCAGTCCACCAATCCCGTAAGAGATGGCTTTTAAAATGTCTTTTGAGCAAAACATATTAGTATAAAGCCACTGGCTAGTTTCCAGAACCTCCTCGAGGTTATTTGGGCCAGCGGACTCAAATGATCGGGGTAAACATGAACCGATTTAGAATCGATTCGGAGAAAGATGCTCCAGACCCAGCAAACTGCAAACGGGTTTCCCCTTCAACAGCATGCGGGGTTTCCCGATACCAGTACCAATGTGTGTGACCCACACCCAGATTCTAGACTTCGCTTGAGTCAAGGTCAGGTCCAAGTTCAAACATTGAATCTTTGTTCATGGCAAGAATCCACAAGAATTTACAGATGCCCAGCTGTTTGCTGCCTTCCCTTTGCGATTCACCTGGCCAGGAAAAGAAGAAAGCCATGAAAGCGCAGAACGTCATTGGGCACGGTTGGGATGTGTGTTTTCGGTCGATCCTTCTCAATTTATACAAGCATAACCCTAGCTATAATGGAAGGCTACCTGCAGCTAGGTGGCTGGAAGCCCAGTCCTCAGTAGAAGTGGAAGTGGAAGGAAGACTAGACTAGAATTACGAGCAGGTTGAGGTTAGTTGAAGTTCACACGAGAATTTGAGGAAGTCAAGTTTGGATGAGTTGTCACACCAATTGTGTCTCTGCACAACTATAAAGAAGGCCGGCCAGGCGCCGGTACGCTTTGGCGAACACTCAAAGCGTACCAGCGGCGACTGCTGTGCTAACGTTCTGCCGTACCTGGTGTTTGTGTATGTTTTGCTGTGCTTCTTCGCTGAACTCACGTGCCCTGCGGGCCAACTCTAGTCTCGAACACAGAAACCATGATGACGTGGATTGGGGGGTGGTCCTGATTTCGGAAGACCACGTCTTCTTTTAGAAACAGGGGGTGCCATCCACTTATCCATCTCTATGGATCCACATAGCGGTTTGCCAGGGAGACACACACTGATGTAGGCCCCATTGTCGGGCCCAGATACTCGTACTGAACCTGAGAAGGTCTATGTGGATCCGGCATGTGAGGTGTTCGGTGTTCGTCATTTGTGCCTGGACTCCCGGTGGTTGATGGACACCTCTAAGGCTCTAAGGGGCTAATGGAGCCCCTTTCCGTGGTGCTGGTGTGTGTGGTTTATTTCGACCATTGTTCGGCTTAAGGACCCAAGAAATGTCGAGATACAGACAGATTTCATCCCCAGACCCAACCACAGAGAGACAGAAAGCAAGATAAACTTAAAGAGCCACCCGAATATAGTCGTCACCCCATGTCACCTCTATTCCCTCAGCATATACAGTTCATGGCCCTTTTCGTTCGCTCAGTGCTTGAATTTGTTTGAGGGTGTGGGCGTGGGCGCGTCAGACTCTACCACATCCCTCCACCTTCGGGATGCGTTTCTCGTTGCGACGCGATGCTAAAGCCCTCAGCCGCCGTTGGACTCGACTCGAGCCGGTGGTGAGTCCGGTGTCCGAATCCCTGACGAGTCCTAAGGCTTTGGGTTTGAGCCTGGTCTTTTGGATTTGGCACCGCGGCCTCTTTGCCGCTCCCTGAGACATGGGGCCCCGAAGTTGCGGCGGGTTCGCGGCGGGCGGCCACAACAACGGCTGCCCCCATGCGGCGGAACGGCGTTCTTTGCAGGTCACGGCGGGCCCAGTTGTGAAGGATTCATGTGTTTTTCGATGCATGGACTAGACTACTGGTCTTGTATAGTCCATTTGTCAGATCATACACCCAAAGACTGCATGTATGCCTACATTGATCCCCCATTCCACCCCAATGTCGGCAATGGCAGTCCCATTTGTCGTGTTTGGGATATGCTTGTTCAGTCTGATGTTTGGGGCTATGACCTGTGGCGCCGTACAGCTCAACCATCTCACCGCATGAGGCCCTCATTTTCCCGTCTCGGTCTCACCGACTCGCTCACCGAGACCGCACGAACGGTGCCGGTGGAGCAGTACATTCGAGTCGTGGCACCGTGCCACGGTGAACGATAGAAACCATGAGCTGGCTTTGGGGCATGGAGATTCGAAGTCAAGTGGACGATCCCTTTTCTTCTCGGCTTTCCTATATGATTTTTAGATCTTGGGAGGGGACTTCGAGCTTTGGAACGCCACGCCTCCGGGACCTCTCGAGAGGCATGCCTCCTGCAAAGGCATCCGGGACCTCAACGCCACAGCCACCGCCCTCCGGCCGGTTTCCCGTCGCGGCGTCGCCGTCAGGACGGTGGGCGGAACTGCGGAGCGTCTTGGCGGGCGGCTTCCGGGGGCGCGAGGCGTGGAGGAACGGACGAAGAAGGGGTTGGAGACGGTCGGCATGGAGGACGGGGTTGGGGACGGTCGATGGGTTCCATCGCGGCAGGTTCATGGGATGGGAGATGGATGCAAGATGGATACAAGAGAGAGAGAGAGAAGAGAATGGACTTGAAATAATTGTTGTAAGGCGGATGGCCTTGGCAGGCCCAAAAAACATGGAAATTAGATTCTTTAAATTCTCGTGTAAACAAAATTTTCTGGGAAAGGCCTGGGTCAGGAGCTATGCTGTTTCGATTAATTAGTGTACATGAACTACTCCTAGAGATCCTAGAGCTTCAGGGAAACGTCCTTCCACTTCACCCGATCTCGTTCGACACGACGGTGGCTTCTGACACATGCTTTTCTGGCTCAACATCGGTCCGGACCAACATATTGGTCACGTTTTTCTGAGAGACCGTGTGGATCTGCAGAACATCAAAGGGATTGCGGTTTCCCAAGTGCACAGGCGGAGCTGTCTGCGAAGGATTTGGGCTATGCCGTGCAGGCGTGTTCCGACTCCAAAGGCCTAGCCTGGCTAGTGGCATCCCCCTAGCCTTTGTGTGGCTTCACGGGGGGGTCCGAGTGATCACGAGTGGATGCTTGGATTAGCTAAAAGATTCTAGCTAAAAGATTCTAAAAGTTAAAGCTAGATTATTCCTATCTATAATAGCAAAAGGAATCTAATCGCGATGGCCTCCAACCTACTAGCGATGGCCTCTAACCTACTAGCGATGGCCTCCAACCTAATAGCGACGGCCTCATGCTTGGTACCAACTCCTTCCTTGTGCATGCTGAGCGCGCTGGTCACTTCCGTTGAGAGCTCTACACCGACCGCTTCGCGGTTCTCGCTGCGGCTCGAAGATCCGGTACAGAAGCGAGAAACCGAAGGCATGGCATGTTGAATTTCCAGCCATGGCTTCCTTATCCTTCCTCGTTTCATTCACCCCAACTGCTTTTTTGGGTGGAGGATTGGGGTTTCACCCCAATCAACCTTTAACAGGTGGAAAAAGGTTGACAGAAAAACAACTCAAGGAGTCAGGCCTGAGACCTTCGCAGACATTGTCATCAAAGCAACAAGCACGGCTTGAAAGCCATGTCAGAAGATGTTGGGCTGAGCGATGTCGGCCTGCAGGCAGTGTCAACAACTCCTCGCGGCGTTTGTTGAAACAAAACCAGCCGCCCAACATGTCACATCTTGTAACTTTGGAACTTCAAGGGGACAAGGTTAGGGATACGGTTGAAGGTTTGATGGAATGTTGGTTTCCTAAGTAGGTGGACTTGTTGGACTTGTTTCACTGAAGTTTGGGCTGGTCCGTTTTTAGTGTTGTTTAGGTGTTGTTCTGGAGGGGGGTCCAGTCCAAAAAAACAGCGGGGCTGCAGCTTTTGTTTCTAGGATGTGGTAGAGGTTCTAATTAGAAGTTTTACAGAGGTTTGTTTGAGCAGTTACTGCTACTACTACGACGACTACTACTACTACTACCACTACAACGACCACGACTACTACTTCCTGTGCTACCAAAAGTGGTACTACTACTACTACTCCTCCTGCTGCTGCTGCTGCTTCTACTACTACTACTACTACCACCACTACCACTACCACTACCACTACCACTACCACTACCACTACCACTACCACTACTACTTGTATTTTTACTACTACTACTACTACTGCTGCTACTACTACTACTACTACTACTACCGCTGCTACTACTACTACTACTACTACTACTACTACTACTACGACTACGACGACGACGACGACGACTACGACCACGACTACGACGAGGACGACTACTACTATGACGACTACTAGTTCTAGTGCCACTAGCACAAACCCCACCACTACTGGTAAAAGTACTTGTTGGCTGGTTGGTTTTGGGGGGTCAAAGAACAACGACGGGGCTGCAGTTTCTTTTTTGCACCCCCTTGTAGAGACGAAGCAAGAAGATTTGTTTGTACCTTGCTGTTGTTTTTGCGACCGCGGTTGATGAAAGCAGGGGCAATACATGCTATACTGACTCAAACTTGAAAAAGCACCCTCACCGATTGAAAATGATCCGCTTGAAGAGTCGACCTTTTCTCGTGGCTTTTCTCTCCCCAGGCTGTTGAGCAGACGTTTGAAACGTTTGGATCCACTCTCCATGGGACTTGACTATTTTTAAAACGTTTCTTTAGGATATATTAAATGTGGTAAGCACAGATATGAATCATCAGGTGTGAAAAACATGTTTAACATGGGTTTGCGACATAAAATGTCGTAAACGAGTCCGTGCATGGATGCATTGGTGATATTTTTAGGCCGCGATGGCGTAGGTAGGGCGTAGCTAGGTGCCTTTCTCTCCCTGGATGGAATTGCTCGTCAAAAGGCCCTTGTCATGTTGGAGCCAAAAAAAGTGAGAAACAATTCAAAGGATACGGCCTGGAAGAGACCCACGTGGAATCTGAAAACCATTAAGTTTGTAGAGGAAAGAATCATGTTCCATGTTAATCTTACCAAGTGCGTGTGCCATGGTCCACAGTCTTAGGCAATGATCTTTAATGAATCAAAAGGAAGGCCAATCCCTCACCAGGACTCTCTCTTGCAATCACTAAATATGGCTGTGGGTCTTGGCACCAGGATGCCTTGATTGACCTACTGGGAAAGTCGCTCGCTACATGGTAGACCAGGGCTTCAGGTTTTGCCCTGTCCTCACAACGTGGGCCCTTAGTAAGGCCTTAGTAGAAGACTGTCCTCAGTTTTTTTCTTCCCACGACACGACTTGGGTTGATCTTCGGATTGATCGGTTCACCCACACGTTCTTGGGAACATCGTTTTTTGTGGTAACATGTAAATGTAACATCTAGGAACCGGTCCGTCCGTCAAAGCATTCAGTGGACACGAAGCATGGTGTTACAGCGTATGTGGGTGACACAGGAAGAGTGTCAGTAATGATGTTATACGATATCTATGTGAAAATAAGCTCTGTGAAATCAGAAAAGTTAAGATATACCACAAAATGGTTTAGGGTCCCCCCTTTCAGGGGGTAACACCTTGATTTTATTATAGAGAGAATCTGTGTGTTTGGCGTGCTTGTGAGTTTTAGACCATAGTCAAGAATCTGAAGCCAATGTTGAAAAGACCTTGATCGCTAAAGGTTAAGGACTTTACAGTCCGATATTTGATGTAGGGGTGTTTCAAGCAAGGGTTTTGCTGCTGAGCATGGTTTTCTCATTTTGGGAGGGGCGTTTTATGTCTCCAAAGCCATGTTCAGGACCCCAGCTGAGAATTCCCGCATGGATGTAATGGTTGTAGGTCAAACATGGTCAAACCAAACATGAACAGGTTTCTAGCATGAACCAGAACATAGTCACCATCGGCACAAAATCCAGTACATGATCAGTATATGTGTATAAATTTCAATATCAACGGCCCTATGAGTAGTTAAGGGGCAACCTTTTTTTCATAAGCAGAAGATGCAAAAGAACCTAAATGTCAACCTCATCCTCCTGTTTGTTTCCGTAACTCCATATCAGGCATATGTAAGTGTCCACATCACTGGCACGAAAACCCCAATGGTTGGATCATGAGCTATGAGCCGACGATTTGGGATCACCGGTCATGATGGGCACGTTTAGGCCATGTACCTTGGAGGACAACTCAGTAGCTGCGGACTGTATATGTATGCTGGCCATGACATAAGCGGCGCCTATTGCGGGCTTGTTGCTCATGTTGCTCAAGGGCTCGCAGTTTTGCTCTGAAGCTAGGGGCTCACCAGGAGCATGTTTTTATAGGAGTGCAGCTGCACGTCGCTTGGCGCGAAATTCTCGTGAGCCTCACCAACTCCTGCGTGAGAGCATGTCAAGGTACACTTTGCGCGCGCTAGACTTGGTGTCCATGCGGGTGAAGCCAAGCGTCTTCGAGTGCTTCAGGTCTTGGGCGGCGGTGCTTAGCCGCTCAGGTGGGGAGAAGCCGCTGTACCACTGAGACATCAATTGGCCTAAGTTGGTGTAAACCTTGCCAACCATGTGTTTCATTGGTGTATGTTCTTAACCTAGCCTAATTATTGTCAACCATTTCTTCAAATTCTAGAGCATGTACTGAGGGCCGACTCGTTTCGATGACCCTTCCCGCCACTACTGACTGTGAATGGGCAATATATGTTTCATTGGTCTAGGTATGAGTAATGTATGTATATATCAATATATATATATATATATCATACAGAGTGCACTTCATTGCACCAACTGCGACGTTTCCCTCATGGTTGTTCCATTTTAACCCTCAACGTTTACACGCCCTCAAAACACAAATCGTCAGACATAGTATGTTTGACATCCATACCCTCCGATCTGCTGTGTTCGGCACTGCCACATTGAAAATCATTTCCGCCCCAACTCCAGCCGTTTCCGGTTCACGCGGTCGTCCCGCTCATGGCTGGCATGGCGAAGAAAATTGCCGTTGTTTGGGCGTCCAAGGCTCGCCGAAGGACAATTGACCGAGCTGTCATGGGTGCCAATAGCGCGACAAAGTATTCTGTAGGCACGCAGATTGTTTAAATCGCAAGTTTTTCATTAGATATTTCGTGCATTAGATAGTTCGCAAGTTTTGGGCCGAGAGACCCTCTTGGAGAGTTGAAGCAAACAACAACTGGTCCATAATATCATATAGTGATTTTGTTTTTCCAAACTTGTCTGTATCTCCAAGCGAACCTGGGCAACGAACATTCACTCTTCTGGACTTACAAAACTCATCATTAATACCCGTGCAATGTTCTTGGTTGCTCACTTGCACTTGGTGAGTTTTCGCGCTTGAGGACATCACTGGGTCCGATGAAAAATACATGAAGAGATTGTCTCAGAGGACCATAGTCCTTTACAACTGGGCAGGAAACAGACCGTTTGGTTCTTTGTTCTTTGGCGGGGCTGCCTGGCCAGGGGGCCGTTGACTTCAAATCCCCCAGAGCTCGCACTTCGAGGGTCCTGAAGTATCCAAGCACCGTCTCTTCGGTTTCGCACTCGTCCCAGGGAGGCCTGGGCGACGTGGGGAAGTTCGCGGCGTCCCACGCCGCGCTGCGCGGAAGTGCCGTGGAGCTCACGGCAGTGGCCCTCTCAGAGGACCGCGGTCGGCGTGGTCCGTGGATTCTTCTGAAGAGACACAGACCATCAGCCCGACAATGTCACAGAAGCTGGAGACAACATTGCCATGGCAAACAATGAGGAGGCAGGGCACTAACAAGAAAATCACATGATTGATGATGAGCTGGGACAAAGGAGCTCACGAGAAGGCTCAACAGCCATCGGAAATCAATGCACCCTGTTGAAAGCGACCAGTTCAGGTCACACACCACAAGAGAATAAGTGTGAGAAACACTGGACACGAATGACAATGAAGAGAACAGCAGTTGAAGCAAGCTGTGCATGAAGTGTTAAACTCGCAGATGCTTCACACATGTAGGGAGAGAAGTGTGTTTGTCATTTACACACGTGTACGCATACTTGCAGTTGGTCACAAGAGCTACAGGCGCG